TTAAAATTAATTTTGTAATTAATAATGGGGACCCGTGGGATGCATGGTTTTGTTTAAAGAATTTGAGGCAAAAGGCACTAGGGGTGTAGTTTGGGTAGGGTGGGTCTAACCCGAGCCTTGCCCAATTCAACCAAAGCTTTTGCACAAGTTGGGCTTGAGTTTTTGAACTTCAAGCTGGGTTTAAGCGAAAAAACTCAATGCTAAAACAAAATCAGGTTGGTCTTGTGTTGATGCCTCGGGTAGTTTAAGCTCAACTTGACACAATTTAAGCCCATGCCGACATTTTATGATATACATATCTACATATTATCAACATCTTTTACTTGGAAATTGGGTTACAAAGCTTAACACACCCAAATCCAAGTCTATCCCAAGATGTTGGGTTAAGCTCGGGTCAGGCCCGGATTACTAAATTATTAATAATTATTATCATTATATTTTTTTTATATATTAATAAATTATAAGTAATTATTAAAAATTATTAGTAATTTTTCTCTTTCCAATTTAACCCTACCTCCGAGTTTTAACCAAACATCTTGGGTTGGATTTGGGATTGGACGTTTCGAACTTTATAGCCCAATTTCTAGATAGAATATATTGATAACGTGTGTGTATATACATGTATGAATGTATGTATATATACAAAACCCGTACATCATACGAATCCCCATTAATACTATATAAAACAAAGCAGTCCACTTCAACATGTTTTTCCTTTTCCCTTCTTAACTCCCCACTAGTACTTTGAGCATGTAGCTAATTAAATGACAGTCCTCTGGTCATCTTTTATCTTCATTTGCTTGAACTTAAACATTAGCAAAAAATACTGTTGAGGTTTTCATAACAATTAATCCAAACATCTACCTGCTTTTTTTTGGCAGAACATCTACGTGAAAAGTTTATGCAGCAACATAATATATGCAATTTACGTTTTTGCCCTTTTAATTTCTGATAATCTTGAATCTGTTTCCATCTGATTAGGACCGTGCAGAGTCCAGATCTTCTGTTCATACACTGCATCCAACAGGCTCTATAACCGAAGTGAAGACGCCAGTGTTCCTAAGCATAAGGAATATGATGTATTCACTTAGATAGCTTGTTAGACACATTATGGCGAACACCAGATCCTAATCAACCAATCAGGGGTGTAAAGTTGGTTGAATTGAGTTATGAATCTGTTAAATTATTAAGGGTTAAAAATTTATGATTACATTACCATTAAATACTGATGAAAAAAAGTAAAATATCAAATTTATCCTCTATTGTTTCTTAAATTTTCAAAATAAAAATCTAACATAAAAGTTGCAAATCCAGAAAGACAGAAACATATCTCTTCTTATATTTTTTTTAGAAACCGATTATACAAAATAAATTTAAAAATCCAAGAAAATCAAAGGTTGGAGAATTGGAAATGGAGAGGGCTATGAAGGGAGGCTTTTGGTTTCAATCCACGTGTTGTTATTTTTCAAGGAGTCCTAATCTTTTTTTTTTAGAGATTACATTTGTGCCTCATAAACGCCCAATACATGCTTGGATTGGAGTTCACATCTCCACCCCACAAGAAACCGCCCCACAGTACATCCTCGCCTTGGAAATATCTCTTGATAATACTAGTCTCGATGACGGCGGGGATGTACCGTGGGGTGTTGTGGGGCGGAAATGTGATCTCCTTGGGATATGCGGTGGGAGGCTGGAGGTGCAGATGTGAATTCTTTCTTTTAACAGAGTTGAATCAGTGCAGATGTGAATTCTTTCTTTCAAAATTTAAAGCACGTTTGAACGTTTGAAATATACAAAATAACACATGAACACTTGAAATATACCAAAAGAATTAAAAAAACAATGAACGTTTGAACGTTTTGTGAGATTATTTTATTCGAATTCCATCAAATTTTCTTCTCTATGATAATTGATCACGGGTCTCAATGCTCATAGTTGTGAGAAACAATTAAACAAAGTTGAGAGACGGAGTTAACACTCACCAGTCACTAGGTAGTCACCGGCACTAACGTCACGCTCCGCACTTGGCCTACGAGATTGGAGATCGAATCAGCCCCCACAACCTCCCCATAATGATATTATCATTTCTGGTATTATCATCGGGAGATGTTCTTAATACACAGAGGGGATGTGGTGTGGGAAGTTGTGAGTGGCAGTTTTGTGGGGGCTGATTTGAATTTATGAGATTGGTTAGACGTATGGCTTTGAAAATCGGATTGGACCAAATTGTTGAATTGGTTGATATGGGAATTGGTCAGGTAATCGGTTCTGTTTTACCTTAAAACTGCTTTTTGGTCAAAAACTGTTTATTTGGTCAGCAATCTTTGTTGATCTGGGTGGTTGAATCGTTGATCCAAACTAGACCTGTTCATGGGCCGGGGTGGGCTAGGGCTTGAGCCTATATAACCGGACCTGACTTTTCTTTTCGGGCCAGGCTTGGGCTTTCTCAAAAAAGCCTGGCTCGAGCCCGAGCTCGACTTGATACTATATATTATTTAATAAAAATAATATATATAATATTTTTTCTTTGTTCTTCTTCTCTTTTTTTTTCCAAGTAATAGTGAGATGTTTATTAYTTTTGAGTTTTGAAAGTTTTTAATATAAATAAAACATTTTTATTGAATAAAAAAGAAAAAAATTTATGTTAAAAAATTTCTAGTCGGGCTTGGGCCCGGGCTTCGGGTTTTATATGAGGGCCAAGCTCGAGCTCAAGACTTAGGCCCAATGGTCGGGCTAGGCTTCGGGCTTTATATGAGGGCTGGGCCCGGGCTCSGGTTCAGGCCTGAGTGTATTCTGTTGACACATATACAAAGCCCGACCCGAACCCAGCTTGGCCTGGCCCATGAATAGGTCTCATCCAAACAATGGATTTTGGTCATTTTTATTTTATCTATTTTTAATTTTTTATTTTTTAAGTCAAAACGAATTATTCATTTGAATCGAACAGTCAAACCATTCAACATAAAAATCGGTCCACAACAGTTTTGTGTCAAGTCTGATTTTTAAAACCTTAGTTAGATGTGATCCCCTAGAGGGACAATGAGTGAATTGGGAGACAGCAGGGGAAAAAGGAGGAAAGACGACATAGGATTCATCTGCAATTCGTGCTTCAAATAGAGATAGACATGATGGTGGTAGGTAGACGCGATGTGGACACTCATATTAGGTCCAAATGGAATCCAACCCAATAAGATTCTCTTTGTGGTGGTGAGTGTTAGAGGTGTAAATCGGGTCGTTTCACCAGTGGCCCGACATGATTTTGTGCTGGCTCAACACGGCCTAGCGCAACGGATTGCAAGCCGTGTCGGGCATGACATGATCGTATGGGCCATGATGGGCCTGGGGTCTCAAGTCCATGGCCTGGCCTGGCACAACATGGCCCATATATATGTTACGTATATAATATATAATATTTACATATTATATACATTATATAATAATTATGTAATTTATTAATATATATTATTTCATTTATAAACAATTGTATATGATGAGGGCAGATTCGGCCCTCCATTGACATCATGACATGTGGCATCTCAGAACAGTTGGATGAAACCCTAACACCATGTAGGTGATGACTTGCCTTAGTCAAAATGATGGAGTCCCAACTGGCAACCTACCTCTACCAACCTTCTGGAGACCTGGCGACCTACCTCCGGAGACTTGCCGACCTACCTCCACCGACTTGGCAACCTACCTCCGGAGACTTGGCGACATACCTCCGCCAACCTAGCGACCTACCTCCGTCGACTTGGCAACCTACCTCTAGAGGTCTACTGGAGACCTGACAACTACCTAGCGACCTACCTCCGCCAACCTGATGACCTACCTTTAGAGACCTGGTGACCTACCTCTGACCTAATGGAAACCTAGTTGGCGACCTCATACACAACTCAAGCAACTCGGCAGAGTGGCTAGTAGCACCTTGTCCAGGAATGGACTGTAGTACCTCGTTGTTATTGGTCCATGGGACCTCAACGTAAGGAGTGACCTCCTCGAGGACTTGCTGATCTGACCGAGGTCCAGGTGGAAACTTGCGAGATGTGCTTGTCGGCCTCTTCCTTAAGCAAGTTATTCTTTCCAACTTCTCCGGGACCACGATGCTCGATCATTACACCTATTTTGTCGTATCGTCTGCATCAGAGTTGATTGAACACACTCTATTCCTCTCCTCCGAACATGGTGGATGCGGTTTCCTAGGAATCTTGGACGTGTTACAATAAGCTCCCGATTCCTTACGCATATATAAAGGTCTCATTTCCAACCTCAGAAGGTATGTGCAATTTAGCTCTCGCAACTCTCTAACTCTCTCACTTTTAGCTTTCTCAAAAGTCTTTAATTCGCTGACTTAAGCATCTGAGTGCTCACTCTGGGTAAAGCAACCTGGACACTCTAATATTGTTTCCCTATAGGTCTTTCTAGAGAACTACACAACTTGCTGATCTACTTAGCTTGGCATCCAAGCCACATCCTAGCTCGACCCCAATCAACTCGGCTTTCGAGTCACCTTCCAGCTCATCATTATTCAGCTAGGCATCTGAATCACCTTACAGCTAAGAATTGTCCAGCTCGACATCTGAGTCACCTGCCAGTAGGGAGTTGGCAAATCGCGCATCATCAGTAGAAATCAAAATTCAAATAAAATAAAACTTTAAGATTTTTTTTTTTAATTTTTGTCTATTTGTTTTTAATTTATGTTAAAATTTTAAAACATGGCTTGACCTGGTCTGTATCCCAGCCTGGCCCAAGGCTTAGCCTGCAAACCAACCTATCTTGCGACATGATACGGGTTCGTGTTGGCTCGGGCCATGGGCCGTACTGGCTGACCCCCCAAAATATCCCAAAGGATGAAAGAATAGCCTGCGGTCTGATACTGTGCTGATCTAGCACGACCCAATTTACACATCTAGTGAGTGTGGTTCCAAATTGAAATCACTAATTGAGTTTATCCATCTCCAATTTTCTTTTTTGAACCCGTAGGTAGAATTTTATTAGCTCGATGAAGAATCCATTTCAACAATATTACATAAAAAATCCAGAATAGTAGACCAAGTAAAAAGTCTAGACAAAGATAAACCCCGTTTGGCAACTAAATGACTAGCAACATTTGCCGTCCGTCACACACAGTTCACCGAGCAAGAATGAAGGTTAGGTAAAAGGCTCTTGCAGGCAGTAATGATATGGATCAATTGCCATGGTGGATGGAAATCATCCACCAACATGAGTTTGAAAATACTATAAGCATCACCTTCAATAATAACGTATGATAATCGAAGCTCTTGGACTAAAAGTAGACCATGATAAAGAGCCAAAGCTTCAGCCATGATGGAACTTTCACATTTAATAGGCAAGGCTTCTGCAAGAAGAAAAGTACCAATATGATCCCGAATGACTAGTCCAACCGAACCCACACCATGTTTGAAAGAAACATTGCTGTTCACTTTTAAAAAATTTACAACAGGTTTAGACCACACTTCCACCAATCCAGGGGCCAAGAGTGTCAAAGTTGCAGATGGCATGGGACCCAAAAGACTTAAGCACCGATCAATTTCAGTGTGAGCCTTGCATATAACAACAATAGGATCGAATTGAACACCATCAAATAAATACCAGGTTTGTTTCATAATTATTCCACCTTGAAATAGATAGCCACCAACAATAGAGAAGTGTCAGTATATTTGTAATTAGCAAATCATCAATTCTGAAATTCAAACATAACCCAAGCCAGATTGTTTGAACCGCTGAACATGACAATAAGGAGTGCACAATAGTGTCTTGTGAATGATAGCCCAAGCCTAACGGCTGAATGTAAAGAAACTATAGGTTCGAATATTCTATTATTTAATTATTTTATCCATTAAAAGATAAAGCAGTAAGCCATTTGGTTTAACTTGTAATTCTTCTATTAGGATCGTACAACCTCATGAATGAGAATAACAATAAAGACTTACCTTAAGCCGGAATCTGGATGAGGCCATGACAATCTAAATTGGGAGATCACTTCAGCCTCGTTTCTCACACTTCTTGTTTGATGGGAGAACTTTGCCACCGCTTTGATAGTGAGCACGGGGTTGGGGACCTTCCATTTTATATTTCTTTTCCTTTAATTCTAACAATCTCCCACTTGGTCTTGCCAAAAGTTTTTTTACTTGGCCATACTTAATTAATCACATTCCATTCACATATGTATATGGCATTCTTAATACTAAACCGGACTGGGACAAAAAAGACCGTTGACACAAGATCACAAAGATCATTACATCTTACTAATAACATAATGTCATTCCATGGTCATTGTATTGATAACCTCATTCTCCATAGTCTATATCCTTAATGTAGAATGATTTGTATGATGTGGTGATCAATTATATCTCTTCCACCTTTATGGTCCCTTAAACTCCTGCTATTTACAACCCACTAGAATCCTTATAGTGGAAAAACATATAATTAACATAGAATAAATGGAGCAAAATTATACTATAAGGAACAATAGTAATTTCAACTTGGGTAAATTTCTTAAACTACACGTATGGTTTAGTTAATTGACTAACTGTACCCTTATTGTTTGAAAATTGACTAATGCTACCCCTACTATTTCTGATAATTGACTAATACTTCCCTTACCGTTAGTGCCCATTAACGAAAAAATGAAAAATACTATTTTACCCTTTATTTTTCTTCAAACTTTCAAAATAAAACAAAGAAAAGGGCTACCAGTGGCGGTCTAACCGGAGAGAGAGAGAGAGAGAGAGAGAGAGAGAAGAGGGAAGAGCTTGGAACCGAACAAGACAATGGCGACTTCTTCTAGGTTTTTCGTGATGATTGTTGTCTTCATCATGGCTCTACTTATCTTGTCTTTTACCACCGTCGATGCTAGCGGGGAGTACCAATTGGGTTGGCTACCAACAAAGCCGACCTGCCAAGGCTCCAGGGAGAAGTGCATGGCCGGCGGCAACGAGCTCAAAATGGATTCCGAGATCAACCATTGCATTCTAGCAACTAGCCAGTACATCAACTACGGAGCCCTGTAGCGCAACACTATACCCTGCTCCCGATGCAGTGCATCTTACTACAATTGCAAACCCAGAGCTCAAGCCAATCCCTACAACTGTGGTTGCAGTGCCATCATTCGGTGCCGGAGCTAGTTCTATATTTTCCTTTCATTGAACAAGAAATTGTAGGGCTTAATCACCATCACAAGCTCAGAACCAGCTAAAAAAATGAGCTAAATCATCATTCAAGCCATCAATAAGGGATCTAGCAACTCCAATCCCTTCATCGATGTCATAGCTCTCCCTGAACGAACAAGAAAGCTTCTTTGAAGAAAAAAGTAGACAAAAGTTTAGGGTTATTTTCTACTCACAGATTGGTTCTCAAGATCTGCAAAAGAGGCGTCACGAAGAAATGCGTGCCCTTTTCTCCTCTCCTCTCTTCTGGATATCTCTCCTATTTGTTACTTTTTGACTACCTTCGGCCTTCAGGTGGCATTTTTTTATGTAAGAAAGAAAAGGAAGAGGGAGAGGATGGACTCCTGGACGGGAGATCGCGACAAGACAATTTTAATTTTAATTAGGGTAAATTTCTCCCAACAGGAAAAAGAAGGGGAGAGAGGTGAGGGTAAAATTGGGTTTTAAAAAAATATATATCAAGTATGAATGAGTTTTGATAGAATATTAACGAAATTTAATAGTAAGGGTAGAGTTAGTCAATTGTTAGAAACAGTAGGGGTAGGGTTAGTCAATTTTCAAACAATAAAGGTACAGTTAGTCAATTAGCTAAACCATAAGGGTAGTTTAAGAAATTTACCCTTTCAACTTTATGCTAGCAAAAGATACTCCTACTAACCAAGTGAATCAAAAGATTCTACAATATCCATATGGATACATATTTCATGAATAATTTTACATTAAGAGCTTTGGTTAGTGGATCGACTATCATAGCTATAGTGCTGATATGCTCCATAACAATTTCTTGTCCCCGAACTTTCTCTCTTACAACAAGAAACTTTATGCCCATGTGCTTGGACACACCCAAACTCTTGATGTTTTTGGAGAAGAAAACAACTATAGAATTGTCATAGTAAATTCTCAATGGCTTGGAAATAATGCCCATGACCCGAAGCCTTGAGATAAAGTTCCATAGCCAGATGACTTGGTTAGTTGCCTTGTAACAAGCCACAAATTCCGCCTGCATAGTGGACGAAGTTGTAAGGGATTGCTTAGCACTCTTCTAGGAGATAGCACCTCCAGCCATCATGAAAATATAACCAAATGTCGACTTTGTATCATTTGGGCAACTAGCAAAGTCTGAATCTGTATACTCAACTACCTCAAGGGTATCAGTTCTGCTATATGTGGGCATGAAATCCTTGGTTCTTTGAAGGTACCTCAAAACTTTATTTACTACTCTATAATGAGCTTTTCTAGGATTACTTTGATATCTGCTAAGTACACTAATTGCAAAGGCAATATCTTGTCGGGTGCAAACTTGAGAGTACAAGAAACTCCTAACAACTAAGTCAAAAGAGAATTTGTGCATTATTTACTTCATCTCTTCAACATCTAATTCAGTCTTTGGACACTACTTTTTTGCTGAGTCTCTCACCTTTAGTGATTGGAACATCTCCAGGTGAACAATGGTCCATGCCATACTTCTTGAGAACCTTGTCAATGTAGGCTCTTTGAGATAGTCCCAACATGCCCCTGGTCATGTCATGATATATTTGTATACCAATGACGGAAGATGCTTCTCCCAAGTCTTTCATGTCAAATTATTAGCTAGAAAATATTTAGTTTCTAAAAGCAAACTCATGTCATTACTTGTAAGTAAAATATCGTCAACATAAAGGACCAATATGATAAATTTGCTCCCACTGGTCTTGAGGTAAATGCATTCATCAACATTTTTTTTGAAACCAAAAGATGTGATGATTTCATCAAACCTTATGTACCATTGCCTTGATGCTTTCTTCAGGCCATCAATTGATTTCTTCAATTTGCATATAAGAATTTTCTTGCCTTCCACTTCGAACCCTTTAGGTTGAACCATGTACACATCTTCATGTAATATACCATTCAGAAACACAAATTTAACATCCATTTGAATAAATTCAAGATCAAAATGAGCCACGATAGCCATAACATTCCTGAAAGAATCATTCTTAGAGACAAGAGAGAAGGTTTCTTTATRGTCAACACCTTCCTTCTATGTGAAACCCTTTGCCATTTGAATCACAATTAGTTTTATATACCCACTTGCAACCAACTATTTTGGCTCAAGTAGGCAATTCTACAAGATCCCAAACTTCATTTTTATTCATTAATTCCATCTCATCAATTATTGCACCTAGATATTTGGATGATTGTTGGCAATTGATGGCTTTTTTATATGTATTTGGATCATTTTCAGTGCCAACATCAAAATCACACTCTTGTAGATAACAAATGAAATCTCCAGAGGTAGCCGGTCTCCTCACCCTTTGAGATCTCCTTAGTGGTAGTTCTATTGGAGAATTATCAACTTTCATAGGAGAGTGTGGACCTTCCCTTTCTACATGATCATCAATTTCTACTTGGTGTTCGTCATTCATTTCTTCAATTGAAACAAGAGGAACATGACTTTGGGATTCTGGTACAATAGCAAATGTAGATTTCTCTTCAAACTCATTATGTTGAACATACACATCATCACTAATAAGCCCATATTCAATAAATTTTGCATTTCTAGTTTCTACAATTTGGGTTGGGCATGATGGACAATAAAATTCGTATCCTTTAGATCTCTCAAGGTATCCTACAAAGTGACAATTTACTACTCTATGATCTAACTTCTCTTGGGGTTTATATAGTCTAGCTTTTTCTCTACACCCCCAAACATGCAAATGATTTAAACTAGGTTTTCTCCTAGTCCACAGTTCAAACGGTGTTTTTTGTAGATTGCCTAATTGAGTACATGATTTAAGATGTATGCAATAGTCTTTAAGTCTTCTTCCCAAAGGGATTCCAATAATTTAGAATTGCATATCATACTTCTAACCATGTCCTCTAAGGTGCGATTCCTTCAGTATGCTATTCCATTTTGTTCGGGAGTTCCAGGCATAGTATATTGTGCGATAATACCATACCCTTCTAAAAATTTGGCAAAAGGTCCTAGATGTTGCCCCAAATTCATCAAATCTTTCATTATACTCTCCTCCTCGATCATTTTATTTATCTGATTCTTAACTTCAACTTTGTAAACCTTAAAGGATTCCAAAGCTTGTACCTTCTCATGTAACAAATAAATATAACCATAACGAGAATAATCATCAATGAAAGTAATGAAATATTTTTCACCATTCCAAACAGGTGAAAGGTCCACAAATATCAGTATGAATTAGTTCCAATAAATCTGAACTCCTTATGGCCCATTTCCTTTTGCTCTTTGTGATCTTTCCTTTAATGCACTCTACACGTGTGCTAAAATCTGTAAAATCCAACTCCTTTAGTATTCCTTCATTTGTTAACCTTTCAATAATTTTTCTTGAGACATGACCATATCGTTTATGCCATAACATTGATGAATTTTCATTAACAATGCAATGTTTTACACCAATAACATTATATGCATTCATTGATAAAAGAGATGAAGCATATGCAGTATCAAAGTTCAATTTATATAATCTGTCATGTAAAGTCTTACTACCAACAACACGAGATTAAAAAATTAAACTGAAAACACCATTTCCAAAATTAAACTTAAAACTATGAGCATTGAGTTTTGCAACTGACAAAAGGTTTCTCCTCATAATAAGAACATAGATAACATTTTTTAAGCCTAAAACAAAACTGGTCTAAAATCAACATATAAACTCTAATTGCTTCAACTCGAGCTTTGACATCATTTCCCATCACCAAGTCTCTTTCTCCACCACTTAATCTCTTGTCGAGAAACACTTGTATAGTATTTGAAATATGTAGGGTTGCCCTAGTATCAATCCACTAAGTATTAGAAGGTACATCAACAAGATTAGACTCAGAAGCTACATAGGCTAGTGAAGTACCTTTCTTCTCTATGCCCCTTTTAAATTTCAAACAATCTTTTTCCTGTGCCCTATCTTCTTACAATAAAAACATTGGACTCCACTATTCCCTCCTTTTATCCTTGAGGATTATTCGCCCTAAACTTTTTGAACTTTCCATCATTCTTTTTTCTTCAGCCTTTCCTCTTCTTGGACACACATGGAAATCAGCTCACTAGGGCTCCACTTTTCTTTATGAGCATTGTATGTGATTTTCAGTTGATCGAATTGAGATGGGAGAGAATTCAGAATAAATTGGACTAGAAATCCATCATCTACATACATCTCTATGCTTTTCATTTGGGTAGAAAGAAAAACCATGTGAAGTATGTGTTTTCTTACACTTCCTACATCATCGTACTTTGAATTTACTAATCATGTCATCAAAGTAATACTAATTGCGTTGGTAGAGACAACAAACTGCTCTTGAACCCTAATCATATATTTCTTGGCAACTGTTTCATTTGGGATACCACCTCTAATATTCTTTGAAACTGTCAATTTCATTATTATCAAATAAATATGATTGACTTTTACCCAAACCTCATGTTTATCCTTTTCCTCTTTTGAGCTTTGATTAGTGGGTTTTGGAGGTTCATCCTTTAATAGGACAAAATTGATCATGAGAATAGCTAAAACTATCTCTATTTGTTCTTTTCAATCAAAGAAGTTTGATCCATTCAAAGTCTCAATACCAGACAAATAGCTAAAAATTGTAGCAGTATTTAAGGCTGAAAAGAAAAGGAAAACATGCTCACTACATTACATCTCAATTCTCAAAATCATGTAATAAGATGCATAATATCAATTAGACAAAAACAAGAGTGACCCTGAAAGCTTAATGGATCTAGTCCGATGAGAAGTGCTGATGCATCATTGTATTTTCACCTTTGGGAAAATATGCAACATACAAATGCTCTTTGTGTGTGTTTCTTTCTTCAAGGTGGCAAAAATCACCACAAGATTAATCAACATGAACATCATAAATTTCCAAGAATTTACTCCTTTGGGTATAAATCCTCATTATCTATTTCATTCATATCAATCATCTTGTCCCATTGAATTGCATCGCCATCCTAATGCAATACACTACAACTTAGTCCATGTTCAAAACAAATGAACAATCATTAATCATTCGAACACCATACAAAATCAAACTGGTTAGATTTTATCCAATTTGAATGATTTCGAATTAGTTTGGTACATGATAATTCAAGGATATAATGAGGCAAAATATCACATATTATACAAATAATTACAATTTGGATTTGCAGGGATGAATATTAAGCAAACAGAATAATAATAATCACAAATTAAGTGATAAATTAGGGTCAATACATACTGAAATCATTGAACCGGTGTCAAAATGAATTAAAAAATTCATAAAATTTTTCCAGAATGTATTTTAGATCCTTATAAAGACTGAGAAAAATATGGGTAAAAACAGTTTCAAATAGCTCATGAACTAGTCAGTCAAAGTTTCGGGTGGATTCAAAAGGTTCTAAAACCCCAGAGTACCAAGTTTCAAAAAAATGCCATATTTATAGACATGAACCGGTCGGTCAAGGTTTCAAATATAGGTTAACCGGTATGGGCGAACCGGATTGTTAGATTAAACAAGAACTTGCTGAATTAATGCGGCAAGTTGATTCGGATAACTCGCCAGGAACAACACTGATGAACTCTCTGGGTCAAAACAACACAAAATGGGCGAGATTATTTAGGTTGACCCTCAAACCCGTCGTCTTCTTCGCCTGTTTTGGGCTTAATAATCAGAATAACATCAGCATTTGGGCTGCTCCCTGCCGGCCGTTTCATGCCACTATACGGCAGAAAAATGGTCGAAAACAAACGGCTAGCAAAAACCAACCATATCCTACCGGTTTTCTCGCCGGAATTTGGCCAAACCATCAGCAAACTTAAATTTGAAATTATTATTATTTTTTTGGGTATTTCTATAATTTCTCATGCATAGGTTGAGCACTCAGGCTCTGATACCGATTGTTATTCTTTTATTAGGATCGTACAAACTCATGAATGAGAATAACAATAAAGACTTACCTGAAGCCGGAGATCTGGATGAGGCCATGACAATTTGAACTGGGAGGTCACTTCAGCCCCGTTTCTCACACTTCCCTTTTATAGCCATCTTGGTGAACGATTACCTTCTCATCAAGGTGTCTGTTCAAATTTTGGCTTTGAATGTTGAATTAATAGCTGTCCTTGTTGAACGGCTCTTTGCAAGACCATTAAATAGAAGGAACATTCCATATGTTTCTTTACCTTTAATTTTAACACAACTACCTCAGCCTTTATCAATTAGACCCTTAATGATCTGAGAACAACCAGAAGTGAATCCATGGGAAAAGTTTTGACTTTGAAGCTTGAAGGGAATTGGATATATCCTCGTCTCAAAACCACGCCCTTCAAATCGGAATTCTATTGAGCAGAGTCCTAAGAAGAAACAACCTTAGCAGTACTAAACATGCCTTGAGATTTATGTCACAAATTCTAATATCAAAGGCATATGTGGTGGTAGAGAGGGATCACATCTGCGCCTCACATGCACATCTTAGTGTGCATTGGAAACATCTTCCCAAATTATTCAGTAGAAAATGTTTCTAATACACGGTTGGGATATGCTGTGAGGCAATTATGGGGCCTAGATGTAAATTCTGATTGAGATGCTAGACTGGCCCAAAATCTAGTCATTAGAAGGTTGTACCATTTTCTAATTAATATTATAACGGCCAATCATGTTAAAAATGATTATTTCTAACCAATTACAGTGAACCATATACATAAGAGCATCTTTCCAAAAACACAAATAGGGATGTCACGGCCTCAAGCGGTGGTCGGGTTTTGATATGGCCCTGGTCGATATGTACCCCGATCAAAGAATCTCCAGCCCAAATTAGAATCAATTCTAATAAATGAAGAGGATGAATCAAAACATCGATACAATATGTCTATATCTAGGCTTGTAAATGGAGCGAATTCGAATTCAAATATGGCTTGATTTGAATTCGAAACCGATTAAACCAGGGAATATTCGAATTCAATAATAATCATCTGAATTTGAATTCATCGAATAAGTTGAATATCCGAATTTGATTGACTATAATATGTTAAGTTTAACCACTCAAACTTAATTTAACTAAACAACATAAAATGAATTTGATTGATTGGGTTGCACGTTACATTCAAAGAAAAACACACCTCAAATCGAGTTTATTTTAATCGGCTCGACAGAAATTGTTTATAGGTCTAGTAATCGTCTTCGAAGGATGGAGACACGGAGGAGAAAATCTGTAACTGGGAAGAACATCGGAGACGCTGAGGGGAAAGTCTGCAACCGGGAAGAACGGAGACGCTGAGGAGAAAGTCTACAACCGGGAAGAACATCGAAGACACTGAGGGAAAGTTTGCAACCGGGAAGAATGGAGACATTGAGGAGAAAGTCTGCAACCGGAAAGAACATCGGAGACACTGAGTACAATTGGAAAGAACAGAGACGCTGCAACTGGGAAGAACATCGGAGACGCTGAGGGGAAGTCTACAATCGGGAAGAACAGAGACGCTAAGGAGAAAGTCTGCAATTAGGAAGAATAGTGAGGAAAGGATAGGTTGAGGAGATGCACGGTGAGGAAAGGATGGAGACGATGCGAAACAGTAAACTGAAACAGTAAAGCTAAATAGGCTGCAAGCGGGCTTCTCCTGCAAAATATTAAAAAATCAAACTTTATTTCTAAAGGTAATGATAGCTTTTGTCTTCATTGTCTTTTCACTTTTTATTATTAAAATAATATTATATTGAATGATTTTACCGAAAGTCATTATGCATTATACTTCTTAATATATTTCTTTATAAGAAATCAATATTTATTAATCATCGCAAATATTGTTAAATAAATATATAATTTATATATTTATAATATTGTAATCAAATCGGATACTTGTCAAATCGAATCATATTATATCCAAATTCGATTCAACTAACTAATCGATATAAAAAATATATTCGAATTCAACCATTCATTCAATTCGAATATCTGAATTCGATTCATTTAGTTCGGATCTCGAATTTAAATTCAAATTTTCGAATGTCGTTTACAGGCCTAAAAGTGTCGACGTATTATATCTGTATAAATGTCATCGAAACAATCATATAAACATGGTTTGGGGGTTTGAAAGTTTGTGATGATAGAAGGTAGTCCTCTCCAGCTGATAAAATAAAAAAAAAACAAAAATGGTTTATCAATGTGGTATCGATGGATATTGATATTTTGATCCTTGGGGGTTGGAAGGACTCGAACACGATCTAACCTGTTCGGCCCATATATTATATTAATACTCGATCAGGGTGTAACTCGGATTGGTCCAAATTAACAGCTTTAGGCTTGGGCCTTGGGACTTTGTTCATTCAAATTTTGATCTGAGTCCAATCTAAATCCACCCAAGCACTTCTCTGGTCGATCAAGCATACAAATATTTCAATGTTGCAGTATCAATGAATCAGATTTACCACCTACCTAAGCCGACCCACTTACATCCTGGTGAATAAATTAAAGTCACTGAGCACATAGCTGCAAACCCATTTTTAATCTCTACAAAATCTTATTTGTTGGATAGAATAAGAGGGTGGAGGGAGGCATGGTTTGCGTTTCTCAACTTCCTCAAGGAAGAAGAACTGCGAAGCGTGAAAGTGGAAAGAGCATGAGAGAGGCTGAGAGGGTAAGGATTAAAAGTGAGAGCCCTTCTTACTCGGGCAATATCCCATGTGATCCTTTTGATAATAAAATATATAATTTTACAAAACAGAACCTAAACAAGCTTACAAAATTAGGGTTCTTTGGTCAAAGCTTTAAACCCTGGCTTAATTTGTATTGCTTAAAAACCTTGTCATTAAATAATGATTCTTGTGCCTCTCATCAACTTTACATGATCACTCTTCACCCAAACAAACTCGCTGGTGCTTATCTTTTGTTTTAAGTACTTCTGTTCTGGCACAGTAAATATAACCGTTTAGTTAGGTTGGTTGGGATGGTTGATTTGCATTGCTAGGGATATATACTGTGGGACCTACTGATTCTTTGCTGTTACGGAGTCAACCAGGTTGTAGAATTCGGTGGCCCTAGATGTTTCTAATTTGCTGTTGGATTAGAATATATCATCGTTTGTTTTGTTTTGATATGATAGCTGGATGAATTAAACTGCAAAATATACGGGCTACTCAATTAAAGGAAAATATATAATTTAATATTATAAAATTAAGGAAAAATTTTGATTTAGTACCCCGAAGTTTGGGGGTAGTGTCAAGTTAATATTCGTACTTTCAAATGTGTTACTGCAATATCTAAACTTTCAAAAAGTGTTAAGTTAGTCTCTGCTATTAATTGATCGTCGGTTATTTGTTAAAAATGTCAAAACTACCATTCGAAAGAAAACACTGATCATTGTCATCTATCTTGAGATTGAACCGGTTGAGGTATTTGAGATTCTAGGCTGATGAAGTCATTGTCTTCTACTTTTAGATCTGAAACATATTCTTGTCTAGTTAATTCTTGTGAGGATGACTGTTCAACACGCCTTAAGAATTTTTAGCCCCATAGTACAGTTGGGGTAGGTGCCAGCTCGAAATTGATGCCAATACACCGGTAGGTATTGGTGATTTAGGGTGGGGGTGTTTGTCATTTTGAATTATGTAAGGTTGTAATAGAATTTAGAATTCTGCAGTGTGGTGCAATATACTTTTCCGTTATTCCTTTGCTTTTAGTTATTGTTTCCTTCTATCATATTTCATGTTTTTTTTCTCTTTTTCTTTGAACATAACTAGTTCAATATCAAAGTAGAAGACAATGAATAATGTCTTTCTTTGAAGAATAATTTTGAYATTTTCAACAAATAACTAACGATTGGTTAATGGCAGTGACCACCTTAACACTTATTAAAAGTTTAGGTATTATAGTGATACGTTTGAAAGACCGGATACTAACTTTACACTACCCTCAAAGTTCAGTGTTCCCTAAAGTCAAATTTAACTTTTATGATTTACACTAAGATTTAAGTAGGTCCCTTTAGTATACATATAGATATGAATGGATCTCTAAACTCATTAAATTGAGGCTATGATGTTTTAAAAATTGGACTGGACCTACCATCAGTGTCTACGATCCATTATCCATACATAGCGCTAATCAACCCTTATTATTCGTTTGTCTGGTAAATAGGGTGGATAAAGTTGGTCAAGTTATTCATGTTTATCAATCAGTACAGCGGACTCCATATTTCTGGATGAATCAATTACTTGGGTAAGCATTAACTTTCACCAATTGAATAAGCAACTTAGCCGTTGTGTTAGTGATCAATTTGATAATCTCTCTCGTTGGATAAATTTATAGTGTAAAAGAACGCAAGAAATGTGCTTATAGGGGAAGTTGTATCTAAAAAATACTTATCCAAACACACTTACCTAGGTTCAAAAAATGAATGAGCCCCWAATTCTAATAAAAGAAATTGAAAACATTTTCTTTAAGCGCAACCCAAAATTGAATATGGGTTGGGATTCAACAACTCAGGTTAGGCTAGGGTTGACCTAACCCGGGCAGACTTGCACGGTTGCWCCCATCATAGTTAGAATGGAAACAGAAGCATCGAAACGGTCTAAGCACAAAATGGAACCGACCACTTTAATCATTAAACAATGTTTTCTTTAATTTTTGCCCATTTGCAGTTCTTATAATCGGCTTAATTAGTGGACAGACGGGCTGAACTGAACCAGTGTCTTTTTCAATTTGAAAACGGTCCGGTTTTGAAACATTAAAGTGGCTGAGATGGCAGCCAAGAATAATGCATCTAATGTTAGCATATCATTCCCCATGTTGCTTATATTTGTTGCGGCAAATATAGGCTTCATAATTGCCACGTGGCAAAAAGGAGCCATTCATATTATTGGAGCACTTATACTGTTTTTAACCTTCAATCAAAACGCTCTCTTGAATGTTGTTAGGGAAACCAGTTCTGGAAAAAAAATGAAACTTTAACTGATGACATCAACGAGGGTTGCCTCATTCAATAAAACGTGGCTTAAGGCTAATATTATTGGAGCTCGTACCTAGAAAAAAATTCTATAAAGTATAAACCACTCAAATGATTAGGTGAACTACTTGTTCAAACTGGTTTTTGATCAAAAGCTCCAATGCTTTTTTACAAAGAATGGATGATCGATCAGATGGTTCCTAATGCAGCTTCCGAGCTGCCATGATTCATCATTTGGACCGTCCATCTAACACTTAGGATACACTGATGATCATAAGGATGCTAGTTGGCCATGAATCCACTTCGATTAGAACTCTCACTGTTGCAGTTGTGAGCATTAAGCGGAAGAAGAGGGGCATTTCAGTGATTAAATTGGAAAGAAAGGGCAAAGAAAGAGATGGCTTTTAAGAACAATGATGAAGAAACAACGAGCAAAGGTGGTATATCACGCGCAGTATCAGAATACGGAGATTATAAGTGTGGGGGCCAAAGATGGGAATCTCAGTAACAACCTCCCAGCTTGGCATAAGAGATCGGAAGAATTCAGATCTCTGAATTTCAGTAGCCTCCTTTGTATCTCTGTCATTCTCATAGCAGAGAACAAAGGAAAAGCAAAGAAGAAAAAGCAACCAGGACGCTTCCTGATTTCCTCCTTTTTCGTAACTATCTTTCATCTTTTCCCATCTTTACTGACTTAAGGAGCTGCAAATCTTTTCAAATTTCATCTGGGTTTTCTGAATTCTGTTTAGTTTTGCTCTTCTGATTCAGATTTCATCAGGGTTCTCTCTGGAGTATCCGTTTGTTACTTTTAGTTGTTGGATTGACAAAGACAATTCTTGTTCTCGTTTAACAAGCTCTTTGGCTTTCAGGGGTATCACTTCGTTTTTTCGGTAAACCCAGTTCAACTAAGTCCAGCTTGTTCTTGGGTCTTGTTCAAACAAGTTTGTATTCGTAGGTGAATCGTTGTCTCTACTGTTCATGATTTCACTCTTTTCGGATATCTTGTATGAAATAATTTCTTTTCTTTATTTTTGTAATAAGCATGTGGAATGTCTTCGGCAGCTCATCTATTGTCTTTCTTTGTTTCTGCTAACTGAAGCAGACAAAGACCCATAAATCAAGGAGACCCACATCACCATCCAAAATCAGGAGCAAGACAAAGCACGCGAGAAAGAAAAGATGTATGTGGAGACTCAGTACTTTGATCCTCATGATCCTCATCAGATACCAGCAGCAGTATCAGTTGATAATCCTTCTCAAACAGTTACAGACTGCTCAGGTCTATCACCACTCATGAACAGCTTCCAAGATAACCTCAGGTTCTCCAGTTCCTCCTCCCCAGAGGACATCCCAGACCATCCCAATCCCTCCGGCGATACCAGCGCCTCTGCAATCGCCGCCTCTATGGGAATTGATCTCCAACAGCAGCTCGGCTTCGAGATGGAACACGAACTTAACAACCATTTGATGCAAGACGTACTCCATGATCCCGCCCAAACCCAGTTCGAGCAGCACAACTGGAATGTCGGGGAGCAAGATATGAGTTACCGGCATGAACAACCACTGCCACAACAATATCAACAATACCATGACCAAGACCAGCATGTGGGTCTACAACATAATCTCCACTGCTTGAATTCTACTCCTTTTCAGAATCCTCCGTATGTGGCGACACCCGACCTTCTCAACCTCTTACAGTTACCACGTTGCACGGTATCCTCGATGCTTCCCGCTTCATCCATTTCCTTCACAAACACCAGCAAAAAGCGTCCCAATTACCAAACTTCATTAGACATTTTTGGGGAGCTCCCCACCACCGACGGCACGGTGGCAGCGACGAGCTTGTATGACCACCCACCACTCCATCTGAACCTACCTCCACAGCCTCCGTTGTTTAGAGAGTTGTTTCACTTGCCCCAAAACTATAATTTGCCTGGCTCAAGGGGTGGTTCTTTCTTTGGTGGGTTGGACGAGAGAGAGGTTAGTTGTGGTGTTTATCAAGACGGGGATGACAGGCAGTTTGAGAATTCGGTGTTGGACTTCAGGAGGGAGATGAATGGCTTGGGTAAAGGAGGAGAAGCGAGGGGAGCCCACCACTTCGCCACTGAGAGACAAAGGAGAGAACAATTGAATGAGAAATTTAAGGCTTTGAGGCTTCTAGTTCCGAATCCTACAAAGGTAGTGACTACCCATCTCTCATTCTCTCAATTAACACCAACCAACCAATCACAGAAAAACACAAACTTTTTTTTTTTTAATTATTCATGATTTCTTTGATTTGTTTCTCTAATTTGTTTGTTCAATTAATTTGTCTCCTGTATATCCAAGGCTGATAGGGCCTCCATAGTGGGAGATGCAATTGACTACATCAAGGAACTGCTGAGAACAGTCGATGAACTGAAGATATTAGTGGAAAAGAAGAGATGTGGGAGAGGAGGGAGCAAGAAGCTCAAGACTGATGATGAAGCAGCAGGAGATATGGAGGGCTCATCGATGAAGAAACATGGTACACTCACTGATAGGGAGCAGTCCTTCAATGGGTCACTGAGGAGTTCATGGCTCCAGAGGAAATCCAAAGATACTGAAGTTGATGTTCGCATCATTGACGACGAGGTGACCATCAAACTCATACAGAGAAAGAAAGTAAATTGTTTGCTTGTTGTATCAAAGATCCTAGACGAGCTTCAGTTGGACCTCCTCCACGTTGCTGGTGGGAATATTGGAGATTACTACAGCTTCTTGTTCAATACGAAGGTAATCTACATTTTCTGTTCATCTATTTGCTGACAGTTACTTGTTTGATTCCTTCCAAAGTAGCCTTGGATTTGATAGGAGTACTACGGAATGTTTCCTATAGAAAAAGTGGGTTGTTTTGTTTCTATGCAGATATATGAAGGTTCATCCGTGTATGCCAGTGCAATAGCCAAGAAGCTCATTGAGGTGGTGGATAGACAACATGCAGCTTTTCCTCCTAGCAACTTCTAGTTCAGAGAGTAGAATTGATGAATGGATTTAGTTCTTTCCTTTGTTGAATGATTGCAAGAGGTGAGAATTGGGGTAGGAGTGAAAGGGGAGAAAAAAGGTGAAATAATCTGGTAGTCAAAAAGCGGTGTTTTCTTTCTGCTTTCCCCCTTTTCTTGGTATGCTTTTTCTAATTTTAATGCAAGAAACTTGATCATCTGAGACTCTGAGTTGCCCAATGAAAGTAGTTCATTTTCAATTCTTCATGCACATCTCTCATATAATAAATGTTGGGATTTCACTACTGTGATGCCATGGTGGATGATTGAGGTTGTGTTTGGTTTGAAAGAAAATAAGAGAGAAAGAGAAAGTTGGGGGGAATTCCTGTTTCTTTCTTATTCTCTATCAAACCAAACATAGCCTAAACAGCCTAAATGTTCATGTATTTGTGTTTGAAATGTTAGATAGGGCTACCCATTTAGTTGCTTTAGGATATATATGTTAGAAGAAAATTACAATTACTCCAATACTTTCATGTTTCCTTATTATATGGCATTTTATAAGTATTACCATACACTAATTTCCGATAAGCTTTAATAATTTAGGGGGTATTCTCCCATGTGAATTGTTTGTTGTTGTAAGTTTCAAGTTTCAACAACAAATCGAACCCGTTTGAAAACTGATTGATTATTGAAATGAAAAAGAAAAAAACACATGTACATGTCCTTGATTGTATATGTTTTTTTTTTTTTAAACTGATATAAAAAATTTGCTCTTGAATTTATTGTTTAAAAACATTTTTATTTCCAAATTTGATATCATGGTCCATTTTCTTTTGGTAAAAATACCATGTTCCATACATCATGTAATTTCTTTATTACAAAATTTCTTTTGTTTAAACTTAAGAAACTATTCCACAATCTCAAAAATTTGTTTGTTTTAAAAACCATAATTTAATTTGACGGTTTTACAAACATGAATTGTTTTTTGAAATAAAACCAACTTATTTTTGCTTTTCAAAATAAAAACACAATTTAAAAATAATGTGATTTACCCTTCGTTGATGTGGCAATTTTAAAAACAAATGGAAATGCTCATTTTATAGAATACACTCTTAATGATAAAAAAAAAAACAAACCCTATGATGATTCCAAAGGCTCCTAGTTATCTGGGGTCTTGTGAGACCACCGTGCAAAAGTCATTATTGTTATTGTTGTTGTTGCAAGTTGCAATCAGTCTGTGAACATGATACTGTTGGCATCATGGCATGGCTAATGCAATATGGTTCTTGAGGCCTGAATTCCTACCAACACAAGTAGTTTTGACAAATAAGTAAATAAAAATAGTCAAAGCCTATTTTACAAGAGAACTTAATTTCTCCGGGAGCTTCAAGTAGCCTCTCAATGGATCCCATGGTTTTTAAAATCGAACCGGTGACCGAATTGGTCAGGGGTTCGATTACCGGTTCAAACGGTCTGACTGTTTGACCTGAATGGTCGGCCTGCTCTAACAAAAAAATTAAAAAAATTGAAAAATGGTCAAAATCGTTTGAACTGTTAACCAGCAAGTTCAGTGGTTTGTTGATCAAAATCAACAATTTTGGGGAAAAACAGAACCAGTCAAGTGACCGATTCCTGGTTTTTCCAGTCTAATCATTCGGTCCGATTTTGAAAGCCATGATAGATCCTTCAACCTAAAAATTTAAGATGTTAGGTGAGGTCCCTGAATAGGTTTTTGTTTTCTAACATGTCCCCTCACCTGAAAATCTATTGACTTAAAGCATGGACAACCACAGGTCCACCTAAAGCTTGTGCTGAAATTTAATAAATTATAAAGAGGTGATGACGATAAAACTGTAGAACACTTGGTCAAACAACACCATCTCAAAGAACTGTTCAACTTAGAAGTTTAAACCATCAGGTCCCTAAATAGGTTTTTATTCTCCACCAAAACCTTCTATGCTGCATTCTGCTTACACCAACATTACCTCATTCTTTGGACCATGTGGTGCATATGCGCATCTATGGCTTCCAATTGGCAATTTCTGAAGTTCATCAGAAAAAAAAAGCAATCTCTCAAGAAACCCCTTTATTAGGAATTAGGATTGGGTTTCCAAAGTTCCTTTTTATGATTCAGGGGTTCTAGCTTCTTTAAAAAAAAAAACGATTTTCCCTTCTTGAATCAAAGAGGGCCCACCAAAAACCCATTCAACCACAGCTTCTAAGCTTCGGTGGATTTGCTTTCTTTACTCTCAATTCATTTGATACTTTAGCATTGCAAATTATACTTTTGTATAGTTCCAAGATCTATATATACATATTTGGGAATTTGGTTTCCCTTCATGAACAACACAAGTGCAGGTACTAAGAGTACGTAATCAATTGATAGTCTCTGGCTGGTTAATTATAATGGAGACTTGAGATTGAATCTCATCTTCATTAAAATTGTGGGAGTTCAAATTGGCACCCCACAGGTGTCTCACATGCACATCTCAGCATGCATTGGGAACATTTCCATTTCTTTGGTAGTTGTCATTAGGAGATGTTTTCAATAAACCTGACAATTGGGTTGGGTGGATCGGGTTCGGTTGGGTCAAGAGATTTTGGGTTGGGTTGCCAAATGCTAGACTCTAACCCTAAATGCTTAGGTTAGAGTTGACTCATGGATCAATTTGAGTCATCCAAACAAAATAATTAAAATTTTAAAAAATAAAGAAAAAATATAAGAGAAATGCCAAAATTAAAGGAATTAACCTTAAGATTCCAAAAATAAAACAAAAAACTTGAACATTTAACAATTCAAAGAATAAACACTAAAGCTGTATTTGGAACCATGGATGTTTTCTAAATAAATGTTGCCACGTAGATGCCACATAGGTGTTTGACGCGATAAACATATATTAGAGGTTAACCGGCTGTTTGGTGTGACCGTTTATTGAAAAAACACCGATAAACAGAAATGGGTGGATTTTCGTGCAATGAGCCATTGGGGGAAGTGAAAAATTATCGCTTCCCCCAATGGCTTCGTGTTTCATGAAACGCGCATTTGACATGGCGCGTACGTGAATGGTGATGTGGCAATTGAGGAGAGATATCTGGTGCTCGCGGATCACTGAAGTTGCGAAGAAAACCCCTATGCCCCAAACCCTTACCACTATGCGAGAGGGAATTTTCGCAAGGATGGCCGCAGAGAGGGACTTGCGCAGGGAGATTCGCTTCTCATGCTGACCAGAGAGGGTGTTCCGCCAATAAGTTTGCCATCGATCGCTACAAAATCCCTCTCCTCGACGCCGGCTGTATGTTTCATATTGACCACTACGATTTTTGTTTTTTTTTTGTTTTTTGTCTGGCAGCCCTAATCCGGTGAGGTGTTGTTGTTACGTACACCGGGAAGGTGCTTAGTTGCTGTTTATTTCCCGATCTGAACGATATGTCACACCTACCCCTTCCTCTAAAAGTCGTTCATCCGGTGAACTTTCCTTTGCTTCGATACGTTAACTCTGCCGTCTTCTTTCTTCTTTATTTCTAGGAATCCATTGCAACCGCTTTGGGTACAGAAACAAGTGGTAAAGCTGGGAGATGAGAATTGAAGGGGACATGGGCTACAACTAACTACTCCTTTGAATGGTGCATCGATCAATTTAAGCTGATCTACGTGAAGCTAGTTTGGTGAATAGGTACCAAACCATATGATTAACAAGTACATGTAGGCAAAACCCGATAGAAGAAATGTCCATATCTTGTGCGAGTCAAATGTATGCCAATTTGTGTAACTCTATCCAATTCTAACGTGTGAATGACAAATTTTGGAAGCTTGGTATTCGTTGAATTCATATGGCATTGAATGCGCAAAGGGTAGTAACAAGTAAAATGCATTAGATAGATGTGTAGTAATAAGTAAAATGACTCTGAAATTTGTTATTAGGATATACCATATATACATTGGATGTGCAAAGGGTATTTTCGACCATTGGCCCATACTGATCCCTATACCTGTCATTTTGGTCGTTGGATGTGATTTTCATTCAAAATCAACTGTTGGATTTTAAAATGTCACTCAAAAATCAAGGAGAGGTGCCACAATGAATCACCCATGCATATGGCCCACTTCTTGAAATGCTCTTTTAAACAACACAAGGTAGGAAATGTTTCTCATCGCTGAATTGGCAAGTGCCTTTAGACGCCATTTCTTGAAATACCCGCAAATTAGCCCAACCAAATAACGAAAAGAGAAAAATTTTAAAGTGGAATTTATCATATAAACACTCTCTAAGAAACGCCAACGGAACGAAACAATTGGGTTAGTGGATTGACTTATGATCCAACCTGATGGAGAGTGATTTGGCCCGACCTCATAATAAGGGGACACGTGGATATGATTCGATATAGGTGCCAATTTGGCATGGCCAGTTCGCTACAAAATGATACTCTACTACTCCAAACTAAAATTTTTCGAGCTAAGATCACCCCGAGCTAAGGGCACCTTGGTACCAGGTCGCGACACCAGTACCTAGTTCAGTTCAAGGTGTACGAGCCTTAGCTCGAGAACATCAGTTCGAGGGGAAACCAGCTCGGGCATGCCGATCTGCCCTCAATATAATCCCGAAAGTCACTCCAACGGTTCCCAATTTCTGCGGGATCACGCCTCGTAACAGCTAAGCATTATCTTCCCGTCCGATCCGGGCAGAAGTGATTAGCCTTATCAATTGATAACGTCATATCCAGATAACGCGGAAACAAATTCTATCATGGCAATGATCTCAGAACTACTCCGTAAAGCCCGCGAGGACTCCATTATATAAAGGCCTCCTTCCCGGGGCCCAAGGTACGCGCATTTTACTGCTTACTTGCTCTCTTGCTCTCTAATTATTCTCAGCTCGCACATACTAACTTAAGCATCGCAGCGACCTTGCCGGGTAAGCACCCCCGGTTTCTCTGATTCTTTTTGTGCAGATTCTCCACGTCCATCGTCTACCGGAAGTTAAACCACCACCAACTAGGAGCAGCCAGATTGCGTAGCATCAATTGGCGCCGTGTGTGGGAAACGCTTCAGAAAGCCCTTTTCCACAAAGCATTTCATATCCAGTTTCCATGGCATCTTCCAGCAACGTCGGATGCAGCACTGACATGAACATCTATGGGGGCCAAGTCCAGGTCCCAACCGTGTGCATTGGACAATTCACCGTACCCCTCTCTGCAGACAGGGTGCCCACACTGAACACACCACTCTCATCTGTAGTAGGTACGACCTTCGTAGAGCCCACTAT